ACATGGTTTTGCTCAGATGCGTGGATAAACACGAAGCGGACATGTTAATGCAAGAAGTACACGAAGGATACTTTGGCACTCATGCCAATGGACATGCAATGGCTAAAAAGACGTTGAGGGATGGCTACTATTGGATGATGATGGAATCCGATTACTACAAATATGTGAAGAAATGCCATAAGTGCAAAATTTATGCGAACAAGATACATGTGCCACTGACCCTCCTCAATGTTATCTCTTCACCTTGGCCTTTCTCTATGTAGGACATTGATATGATTGGAATGATTGAACCCAAAGCTTCAAATGGTCATCGTTTCATCTTAGTGGACATTGACTACTTTACTAAATGGGTAGAAGCAGCATCATATGCTAATGTAACCAGACAGGTGGTAGTCAGATTTATCAAGAATCAGATCATTTGTCGATACGACATCGCGAACAAGATCATCACTGATAATGGTTTGAATTTGAATAACAAAATGATGAGAGAGCTTTGTGAAGAGTTCAAGATAGAACAATATAATTCTTCACCCTACAGACCAAAGATGAACGAGGCTGTTGAAGCTTCTAATAAAAACATCAAGAAGATTATCCAGAAGATGGTGGTAATTTATAAAGATTGGCATGAGATGCCCAGGTTTGCTCTACATGGGTACCGCACTTCAGTTCGAACTTCTTCAGGTGCAACTCCTTTTTCTCTATTATATGGCATGGAAGCAGGACTCCCCGTGGAGGTTGAGATCCCGTCTATGAGAGTTTTGACGGAAGCTAAGATTTTTGAGGCTGAATGGTGTCAAAGTAGATATAATCAGTTGAATTTAATTGAAGAAAAGAGAATGACAACATTGTGTCACGACCAGCTATATTAGCAGAGAATGAAGAAGGAATTTGATAAGAGGGTTCGGCCACACGAATTCAGAGAAGGTGACCTCGTGCTCAAGAAGATATTATCTTTCCAACCTGATTCTAGGGGAAAATAGGCTCCGAATTATGAAGGACCGTATGTTGTTAAGAAGGTTTTCTGTAGGGGCGCCATGATTCTCAAAAATATGGACGGTGAGGAGCTCCCGCGCTCCGCGAACACTGACACAGTCAAGAAGTACTTCACCTAAATTGAGATGACAACTCACTAAGTTGAAAACCCGAAAGGGCGGCTTAAGCAGGCTTTTGATCAGACCAGTCATGGAAAATTTAAACACATCTTGGAATTCAAAGTTGTTAGGGAAAATAGTGGTCATTGTTTTTGTAACCTTTTCTTTCATGTACTATTTTCCAAATTCTTGTAAACCTTTGGAGTCGCTCCGTTAGCGGACTACCATCTTATTAATGAAATTTGAGCATTTATCTTTTTTTGTATTTTTTTTATCGAGCAAAATTTCAGTTTTTTTAGCAATATATGAAACAAAATTAATTAGAGTATTCCTATCTTGAAATGTGTCATGAATACTGGAAGGAATATTAAAAGTTGCTTCGAGAAAGGTTAAGCCTTGAAATGCAAAGCAACATGGTATCCATCCTTGTATGATGAATAATGGTTTCTTCTTTCAAAATCGTCTTGAGGTGTTGGTTGTGTGACCTTGTGTTTCTAGTAGAGTACTAAGCTTGGTAATTCCCCAACAATCCCGATTAAGCCTTGATTCAATTATCTCTAGTTGAGCAAGATTTTTTCTCCCTAACCGAAGTGAAGTACATTTTGTTGTCCTGACAGTGGTCTATTTATGTTAAAAGATTGAATTTTGGGTATGGTCCTCTTCCAAAAGACTTACGCCTAGAAGTATGATACGCTCTGACGATGCCTTTTGTTTTATCTCCAATTATTTTCCCATCTCTATGAGATTAGCCGAATATCTAGTTGTTTTGTGATGTCTTATCATCTTCAGTTTATCTCCTCTATCTGTTTTGTCAGCATATACATGACATTCATTTATTCATTCACACTCGCATCATGCATGCACATTCGTATTTGTCGATGTTATTGGGTGCGTATACCTTAGTTATGTTTATTCAAACAGCGTATTTGCTCTTTCAAAATAGAGTGTCAACTTAAGAAGAAAGTGTGCCCCCTTTCTAATTCCACAACTGAGCTAATCCTTGTGGAATAATTTTACTTTAGACTTCCTTTTCCATCTCTGGATAGGATAAATCCCCAAATGATTTGTTTCCTCATTGAGTGGAGTCTTGCTTGATTGTTTTCTCTCCAGTTCATTCATATATTGAAATTTGTCTCTTGCATATGCTCCCCCGTGGTTTTCTCTAGCCTGTGAAACCTAGATGAAGAGGCATTTACCTTGTGCATTTAAATACTTGGTCTCCTCAGGAAGGACCTATCCATGGTTCCCCATTGAAGAAGATATTTATTCCCTAGAAGTGTTATCACAACATTCTTCTGGAATATCGACGTGACAACAAGTGGCGGTCTCTTCATGAGCAACTTATATGTTATAGATATCTTTGGAAAACAGCATGTGGCAGTTTCTTCATGAGCAACTTGTGTATTATAGATATCTTTGGAAAACAGCAAGTGGCAATCTCTTCATGGGCACCTTGTGTGTTATTGATCCTTGGAAAATAACAAGCGATAGTCTCTTCATGAGCAGCTTGTGTGTTATTGACATCCTTGGAAAACAACAAGTGGCAGTCTCTTTATGAGCAACTTGTGTTTTATAGACATCTTTGGAAGACAACGAGCGGCTGCCTCTTTTTGAACAACTTGTGCGTTATTGATATCCTTTGAAGATAACAAGTGTTGGCCTCTTTATTTGAGCAGCTTGTTTGTTTATTAATATCCTTTGAAGACAACAAGTGGCGGCTTCTTTATTTGAGCAACTTGTGTTATTTCAGCAGCAAATGGTATCTCTCTGGAAAAGTCCCGCAAAGAAGTTTGTTATGAAATCTCTACCTTCAGCAAATCGGTAGTTCAATATCAGTAAAAGTTAGTGTATCTTTTGTCTACCTTTGAACCCGAGTTGTAAGCTCACCATCATCTTGGGTCAATAGCCATCTTTTTCTTTCGCAGCCTATGCAAGGCGTCTTCTTTGTTAGAGTTAGAAAATTGTTTTCTCTCGAAGTTATTCCCCAATAAGAGTCTCTCATTCAAAGTCTGTGGCTCTGTTTCTCCACTAGAGTTATAATCCCTTCCCCTGTGGATTATTTTATCATATGCTTGGTTTCTCCAGCATTAGTTTGTCTCATGCGGCATCATTTCCCATAAGATTCAAATATTACATTCATATCATATCATAAAAACAATGGCGATATCTTAGGGCCAAAAATTGCATATTCTGTATTTAAGTTCCTTCAATCTCGTCTAGACGAAGATTTCAATCTTCATATCTCCGAATAGAAGAAACTTAAATGGGCAGTTGTCATACCCCAATATTTGACCTAAGATCCCATCTTCATTTGCATTTTTCTTATATACATCAAGGTCACGAAATATGGTCGGTTTCAAATTTCTCACCTTCGAGCATTACCTGTGCAAAGATTATCGAGTGTTGTTAACATTTTATATTATGCATGACTAACTTCTAATCAAGCACGAAGTGTATGTTTTTTGTTTTGTTGATTTCATGTGTAGAAATAGGTCTGAATCAAGAGCATCAGACGTCACGCCTCAATTAGGGTTTTGAGTCTCTCAAGCCAGAAGTACAGTTGATCATTGATTCTCGAAGATTGATTCATCAAGAGAATCGTGTGTTTATTTCCATGCTCTGTCCAACATATGGCCTCAAGCGTCTCCGAAATTCTTCATAAAAACAGTCAAAGTTCCATGATCACTGGTTCGCATGTGTTTCAGCTTGCCTTGAAATACAAGAAAAGACCAGGCTATGCGAGTCAATTCCAAACATTTTGACCAAAAGTCATCAGCAAGTTTTCTTTAAGAGTTGGAGACAAATTTCATATAGAAAGCCAAGAAAAGCCTTTATAGGATGTTTGTCATGATTTAAGAGTTTATGGATCTCTAAGTTCAGTTCACTGTGCCAATTTCTCAAGGCGGTAACATTTCGCCTTAAATCCCTCTTCTATTGATCATTCAAAGCTTTTAAGTATGGTTCGATTTCTTATACTTACATGACGCAGGGTGAATTTCGTTAGAATGGAGTGATTAAATTCAAGATCGCTTTGGAAGAATTTATTTAGAATACTTGGAATTTTTGTCATGTGAATTCAAGTGTTAATTAAATAGAAGTTATCAAAAGGGCTCATTCAATAATAATCGTTCATCACATTAATATTTATTCAAGATTATTTTGTGTGATTACTTTGATGGATTCCTACCATGGCCATTTGAAATCACATGAGGCATTTATTAAAGGAGATATTGAAAAGAGAAATATGATTCGAATTTGTCATTCGTCACAAGAACAAATACATGATGGTTACAACTTCATTACAAGATCAATTCATGTAATTAATTTAGATCTCTAATACAATATGCAAGTTTGAGATCTTAAGGCTTGCATCATTGTTCATTCATTATTCAAACTTCATTCAAGTATCAATCAATTCCTTTCCAAATTCAAGTGGAAGATTTCTAATTTCATCAAGATAAATATAAAGATTTAAAGTATTTACAATTATTGAGAAAATTACATTCAAGACAAGTTCCATTCATGTTACAATTTTATTTGGAGTTATCACTACAAAGTTACAAAAGGAATTACGAGTTTGTACATAAAAATCAAAACTAAATTTCTAATGTCCTAAAGCTTCATGCTTCAAACATGATGCCCATATTTTCCAGCCATGTTCAACAATGCAAATCAACCCAATAGCAGCCTGCAAATCAGCCCAACAACAACCTACAATGATCCAAAAAAACTATTGTAAGTCATCCTAATAGCAGACAACAATACCAGTCCCAATTCTGCCCAAAAATGCTATAAACCAGTCCAAAAAATAGCAGCTTGTAACATTCCAAAAACTGTTGTAAAACTACTAAAAATCAGCCTAGACCAGTCTACTACAGCCTACTGCCCTGCATCATAACATCCAAAAAAATGCATCGAAATGGAAACTTAAAATTGTATGAAAAAAGACATCAAAACATTTGTCAAAACAGTTCAAATGTTCTACTATTTCCCCCCCTAAATGCCTTGTTCTTTCACTATAAAAGTCATCTTCATGGACAGAAAAATGTGAAGAAAAACTCAAGGAGAGGAAAAACAGAAAAAAGATAGTAAGTTTGTTCAAGTTTTAACAACAAGAATCAGGGTAAAAAGGAGCTTAAGCATCAAAGGGAGAACTTACTATTTTTTTAGAAGCTCCATCGGAGAGACTCCGATAGGTATTTCTTCTCCCTATTTGTTTCTGCATAATATTTCTCATACATATATCAATATCTATTCGTTTCTTGCATAGAAACATCAACATCGGTTTGAATCTTCTTTGCACCACTTTTTTTTTGCCATATGATGTTTAATTTATCTTATTCCTTTGCTGTATTTCTTGAGTTACTGCAATGTGTTGACATTTAAATGTTTAGAAATCATAATAACAGTAATAATGCGGATGAAAATGTACAACAATGACCTAAAAAGAAAAACTAGAATTGAAATAATAGAACTACTAAAATTAGAGAAAGTATGCCTACCAAGCCATTCTAAACAACAACCCAGCAACATAACTTATGCCCTCATGTTCCCTCTACCTCACTTTCATCAACAACTACAATCATTATCATCCTCACCAACATTCTGGGCTAGTGTCTACAGCTGGTTCATTCCCACTGTCTTCTTATATCCTTTCCTTCCTCATGTTCACATGTTCAAACATAACTTAGCGCCTCCCTAAGTTACCACGGCCGGAGGCCTGACCTAGCCTCACATCACCTGCAAATATATTTATTTTTGGCAACAATTTAAGTCAAAATAGGATCTGCATATAGAATCCAGTAAAATTTCAAAAAGATATCTATAGATTCATGTCCAGTGAGCTCTATGTATGATTACGAAAAGCAACTTCACAAAAAACTTGGAATTAACTATCATGACATGAGTTTGAAAAGAGACCTTGTGAGCATTGTTTTGACAAGCTTCCCAGTCCTTCAGAAGCCTAACAGTAGCACGTGAATTTGGATTTACAACTGCTAAAAGGATTGGAACATCTGCCACATATTCTCAACTATTAGGCAAAACCCGTTGAATTCAGAGGAAGCTTCACAAGGTCTCACAAATTAAAAGAGAGAGAAATGGAAAACCGGAGACCCAAAACAGAAATCCATTTTTCTTGTGAACTCCTTCTTCTCCAACACAAACAATGAAAAACTTACTCATTATCACCTTCTCTTCTGCAACACTCCTTGCTATCTCTCGTCGTAATCATATATTCCCTCCGTCTATTTTATCCAACCCGTCCTTGTCCATCTTCGTTCGTACTCCGCTTCTGCCCTCTCATGATTCCCTCATGCAAACCATCACCACCGTCTTCAACAAATACTCCCTCCCAAAAATCTGCTCTGCAGCCTCAAAAAGTTGTTCCCACTGTCGAACCGCTAAAAACCCCCAACCTCACCCGAACTAAACCAACCCGAGACATCTCTCCATGCTCGGGCCGATGATAAACTCTCCACCGAACCTGATTCACCTAAACTCGATAAAGCCAAGAGGAAATACTACAAAAATGAAGGAAGAGAATGTACGAGTCCGATTGCGATGAAGATCGTCAGAGAAATGAACAACAGTTTGTGGAGATGAAACCTGAAGTGGTGGAACTGAGAACTCTCCATAAGAGAGAAGAGGAATCATTGGTGATGATGATTTGTTTGAGAAAAAAAAAGATGAATGGTTGGAGTAAACTTGATAAAGATGATACGAGATTCAGAGAGAGAAAGGAGTGTTATTATTTCTTTTCTTCTTCTTTTAATTGAATTTCCTGACAATAATAATTAATTTTGTTTGGTTCCCTTCCCAACAAAGCAGCAGCGTCACCCTTTGTTATTATAGTTTCCCAAAGTCTACTTTGTTTCTTCCTAGGAACCGGGTCAGCCCCATTGAGCGTGTTGGCCCAATTACATTCATAATTCTATTATTTTAATTAAAACATATATATAATAGATAAATAGCATAGTTCAATTGGTAAGATATACCATTTATAACCTAAAGGACACGAGTTCAACCTTATATTAGGGCATTTTTATTTTGTTTTTTAGTTCATTTAGCTTAATTACCCAATTTTATTAAATATATGATAACAAACATTAATTTAGTTCATTTTATAATTTTTTTCTTTCCATTATAAAAAAAATAAAAAAAATACATGCTATTATAATTTAGTCTTTATTTAATTTTTGTTATTTATTTAATTGTTTAAAAAATACATGCTATTGTAATTTAGTCTTTATTTAATTTTTGTTATTTATTTAATTGTCTAAAAATACATGCTTATAAATTAATCTCTTATTGAATTTTTGTTCAATTGTCGCTCCAATTAGCTTTATTCTCGATCGTTTAATCTTTATATCTTTCGTCCGTATAAATTCCAAGGGAAATGTTTTAACTTTGTTGACTTCATGTCATCAATTACATCTTATACGATTGAGCAAATGCCTTCATTCATTTTTGTTTTACTATTTTGTTAATCTTAAGTTCATTTTCCTAAAAGACTCAATTTTAAAACTCACACCTTTTAAGTCAAAACTTCAACACTAGGTCGTCCCATCTTCAAAATCCCATTTACACCCATTTGACCAAACAAACCATTTTAATCAAGCAAACTAATTTTAACCAAAAAAACAGATATTTCAAAAGGTTCTTGCGGAGTACCGTAGATGCATTGGGTGCTAATACCTTCCCATTGTATAACTAACGCCTAAGCTCTAAATCTATTTCAAAAAATGCATTGTATTTTCATTACTTTTAGGTATTACTTTACATTGCATATTTAAGGGTTTTATTTTGCTCTTTTCCCTTGGAAATAATAAAGCGTGGTGGAGACTCTTGCTTTTGTGAGTCGAGTTAATTAATAGGTCGATCTCTGATTTACCCTGCTACGTTTTTTATCACTACACTCACGACTATGGATGGGGAGGATTTCCCTCACCCTATCAACGCAGATGTAGTGAAAAAGTATTTCGCATAAACAGACCCGCTGAGTTGACTGGCTAAGGAAAAAAGGGGTATCCCGGGGAACAAAAAAAATGAATAAAGGTTCGGGCAAAAATTAGGGATATATGAATAAAATAATGAAAAAGAAAATTATGTACACCTGCTAAGTTTAAAACCCGATAGGGAGATCTGGGAAAAAGTTAGAGATTGAAGCGAATACTATGGTCTGTGTGGTATCTGTGATATCATTCTACACTGTTGTTGGTTAGCTTGAAAGGATAAGGAATCAATCCAATCAGTTTGTTAAGAAAGTAAGATACTAAGGAGCTTTGAGGTCATAAAAGTCATAGCAAAGTCGCGGCCCGATAAATCCGCACTCACACTGCCACCTTTGTTTTCTCCTCTGTATACTTTGTATGCAATTACCTCTCTTAGGAATTGCTTCTTAATGTAAATGCCTATTTATAGGCCAGTTAATTAATAAAATTCTTCTCTTTTCAAATTATACCGATTTGTTTTCCATTTTTGTTGTTTTGTTTGTGAAAAGACGTCCAACATTTTTGATAAAGTTTGTGTTTAAAACATTAATGCTTTACAACACATGATATCAATAACTGAAATTACCTAAATTTCCAGGTGTTTGAGGTGAAGACTAAGGTAATCATCCCATACCTTGGGCATGTTGTTGTGGTTTCCACCTTTACATGTACTTTTGTTCTTTTGTGACAAGGAGGGTACCAGTAAATGGGAATAGGAAGGTCTGGTTGCGACCAACATGAGTTTCTTATAGGAACAAGATCCCATATCCCCCCAGTGAAGGTGTACTCTCGCCCAGATGGAATCCTTTTTATTCCCAGTGAAGAGCTCCCATCAAATGAAAGATCCTTTATTCCCCGTGAAGTATCTTATATATTCCCAGTGAGGTTTGAGCATCCATGCGTAATCCCCACTGAATTCAGTGCTCTTGATAAGAGTTTGTTTAAAGGTTTGTCCCCTCCAAAGGAGTTATCTCCAAAGAAGTGCATTTCAGAATGATTTTGTACAATCTTCTCCTTCAACACAGACTACTCTTTTCAAAGAATCTGGGAAGGTTCACTTCATTTGACTGGATATCTTTGTTATATCCCCTTGAAGTCAATACCATTGTGTCTCTGTAATTGGTATTTATCTCCCCAGTTAGGAAACTCCTTTATTCCCCATGAAGCTCATAGATTTTCTCTCTAGGGAAGTTTGCCTTGTCAGGTTTTCGTGGAGAGATGTTTGATCAGTATGCTTATTATGCCCAGTGGAGCAAATCTCCTGTTGTTCTAGAACAATGTGCATAGACAATTGCTGTTTAGGGCTCTTTTACCCCCAGTGATAGAGTATTGCTGAAATATTTCCTCATTGGAGTTATGAAACTCAAACTTATGGTTCAAGGATGCCCTCATCTTCCTCAAGCAAAGGTTGTTACCCCAACGGTAGTATTCCCAGTGCGGTAAGGGTAGAATTATTTCGCTAAGAATTTCTATGATTCCTCAATCAAAGTCGAATTTTGATGACCTGCTGGTGTAATTTGTCTATTATTACCCATTGGAGAAATTTTTCTTTCCCTAGTGGAGCAAGTGTCGTGTTTCCCCAGTGTGGTGTATATGGGAATGCAAGTCATAACTCTTTCGTCCCTGGTGATAGAAGATTTTGTTGAGATGTCCCCAGTGGAGTTTCTATCTTAGGAGGTTTGTTTCTTCCCTACCCGTCGGTGTTATTCCCAGTGTGGTCTGAGTATAATTATTTTTATTTAAGAATTTCTATACTCCCCAATAGAAGTTATCTTTGTCAAAAAATTCTACGTGAGAAAGTTTCCATCCGCAACGAAGCTCTCCTATTTCTAACAAAAGATAAATAATTTGTTCCCCAAGAAGTTAGGAGTTTGATCAGAATTCAAAATTTTCTCTAAACTGTAGTTTATTTTTGCAGTATTTTCCTCAGGAAGTTACTTCCCCAGTGATATCAATCTTCAGAGGTCGGTGGTTCCGAATCTCGTTTCCCCATTGAAGTTCAAAGAGACGTTTTCTCTACAGAAGTTCAGACGTGTGAAGAATAATTGTTCGAAAGTTCATTACAGTCGATTATTGACGTGCTTTTCCCAGTGCATTGCTAATCATGCATCATTACATTGCATTTACCAAAATGCGTAGGATTTCTGTTGTATAGAACATTACGCTATAAAAAAAATTCAAACATGCATAAGTATAAGCCAATTATGTTTACTTATAGTAACCAAATTGTTATGTGCTCATATTTGAATTATCTTCACAAAAAACTTAGAGTGATCCTATTATGTTTCCCTAGTGGAGTCTGTTTGATTTACCACTAGTCGGGTCTTTGGTACTTTCCATTTCCCCAATAAGTTGTAGTTTTCTCTTTCCCTTGCAAGTCCTTGATTATTTTACCCGTGTTTTCTTTGCCGTCAGAGTGCGAGTAAGAGTCGGTAAATAACCTTTCTTATTTCTCAAGTATTTGAGTATCCATACTTGGTGTGTGGTAATTCAGATCATTTCCATTCTTGAAGAATTACAGTCCGCCTTTGGCCTGAGGGATTTTGTAGTTCTTTCATATTTGCAACCTATCAAAAGTCCAACTCGTTTTGGAAATCCTTAGTAGATTCCCCTTTGGCTAGTCTCTTTCTCTTATAGAGTTTATCTTTGATCGGTGCTCTCTGAAGGTCCCTCCTAGTCGCTTCCTTCTCTTTGGTATCCGTGTTAGTCAGGTTCTCCTTCTGTTAGCCTAGATAGCATTCCTTACTTGGAGTCCTTCAATGTCTCTTCAAAGTCCAGTTTGTCTGGCATCCTGGGTTAGGTTAATCCTTTCTTGTTAAGGCTTTCTTTGGTCAGCCCTTTTCTTATGTTTTCTACCAACTCCGAACATTTGTTTCTTAATGCCCAATTTTTCTTGTTTGTGTCTAACCCCGACCAGACATGCATATCTTATCCCATGTGAGTTTTCCTTTGATCAACGTTCTTCCTCTAGGAATCTAACTTCGACATAGTATTCCTTGTTAAAGATTCCCCTTCGGTTAGTTTCTTTATCCTTAAATCGACCTTTGGCTGGTACCGCTTATAAGGGTCCCCTTCGGCTGGTCTCTTTTCATTCGTAAGTTTACCTTTGATCGGCGTTCTTGCCCTAGGAATCTACCTTCAACATAGTATTCCTTGTTAAAGATTCCCATTCGGCTGGTTTCTTTATCCTTAAATCCACTTTCGGCTAGTACCGTTTGCAAGGGTACCCTTCGCCTGGTCTCGTTTTATTCGTAAGTTCGCCTTTGATCGGCATTCTTCCCCTATGAATCTACCTTCGGCATAGTATTCCTTGTTAAGATTCCCCTTCAGCTAGTTTCTTTATTCTTAAATCCACCTTCGTTGGTACCTTTTGTTAAGATTCCCCTTCATCTGATTTCTTTATTCTTAAATCCACCTTCGGCTGGTACCATTTCTAAGATTCCCCTTTGGCTAGTCTTTTTTCTTTAAAAGATCGCTCTTAATCGACATTATTTCCCGCTTAAATCCATCTTCAGCTGGTATCACTTGTCAAGAGTCTCCTCCGGTTGGCCACTTTACTTTCGTATGTCTTCCCTCAGCCTGGCATACATCTCCTGATAACAAATACAAAAAAAAGAAGAAAAAGAAGCGCAATGATATCTGACTGGATTCAGAGTTCAAATTTTATGGTTCTATTAAGTATTCAATCCTCTTTCATCTTGATTGTTTGAAAGGCTTACGCCAATCTCACTCTCTGGTCAAAGAAGATTGAATAGGGGCAACAATCAAATTAAAGTTCAACAACT